ATGTTTATTTTTTGTAATTTCTTTTAATGGTGACATTTTATGCATAATCTTATCACTTTCATCAAAAGCAATTTGTCTTCTTAGACTTCTCCTTGGTAATGGTGTTGCAGGTTGTACATTTAAAACTGGTATTTTACTAATATTTTCAACTGCAGAATTTTTCAATTCAAAGTGTCCAATATCCCCTTCAGATTCTTTAGAACTATTACTATCAAAAGCAAGTTTTCTTTCTGCCTTAATTATTACTTTATCAAAGTTGTCAAAACTTTCTATTTTTGATAATGATTCAGCCAAATCCACTTTTGTCTGTGTTTCTCCACCAATTGGTATTTCATTTAAAATTATATGATCATCAAAATTAACTTTATTTCTGAACTTTATACGAGATTCTGCTATAGTTGCATTCTCTGATGGTTGCAATATGCTCCTTCCTGGTGTTTGATCAAAATTAACATAAGATATTGTATTATCCAAGTTCACCTCTGGTGTTTTACACATTTGGCTTACTTTTATTATGGTTAATGGAGTATTTATCTTCTTTGATGTTTCAGACAAATGTACCTCTTGCACTAGACTTAATCTTTTATTATGTTTAATAGGTGTATAATCTTTTTTATTAGGAGTACTAGACATAAATTTTCTTGTCTTATATTTTACATTAAAGCTTTCATTCTTTTCATATTTATTACTCAGAATTTGATTACTTGTAACATCAACTTCTTTCATATCACCATTACTTCTCATTTCTTGTGTCATCTTTTGCCTTTTCTTTGCTACGAAAGCTTTGAAAGAACTTGATTTTGTAAATGCAACATTTCTTTTTACATTAGATTTCTTTTTAGTTATATGCTTGACAACAGGCAATTCTTCTTCCTTCCAGTCTCGTGAACGAAGTTTCTCCAATTTTTCAAATCGTGAATCACAGTTCTTTACTTCTATATACATCACATCCCAAAATCCTTGTAAATCTTTACATGTAACTAACATTTCTCCTTTTCCTGTCTCACAATCAGCAACTAATCCACGAAATCTTTCAAACTTTTTGCCTATTAACAGATTTGTTTGGCCAATAGTTTGATTTATTTCATATTGCCCATCCTCTGTAGTTGTAGGTTTTGTTTTAATTTCTGACCACGTTTTACATAATTCATTTAATCTGGTTATTTCTCTGCTTAGAAGAAATTGAAAATATTGTGCAGTATGTTCTTCTTCTTCAACTGAAATATTTAAATTTTTCATGACAGTATCTTTTGCAGGAATGTCATCACTTGGTGAATGACAAAGACTGAAGCTATGTGTTAATTGTTCTTTTAAATGTTCATCATTATTATGTCTCACATTGGTGTATTCTTCACTATTGCGTACTACATTTTCAACACCTGATTTTATCTCTTCATTTTTATTATTATTATTATTAGAAGAATTAAATATTTCTTCTTCATCATATGATAATTTTAAGGAGACTGCTTCTATCGAAGAATTATCTTCTGCATCATTAGAATCACTTTCCTTGTCATTAGGTGCATCATTCTCCTGAATATTGACTGGTTCTACATTAAATTCTGTAGTACCACTTTTTCTATTTTCCTTTGATGTACTTAAAGGGGAAAATGTAAACTTTGTCTTGATAGGTGTATTTTCTATGGCTACTCTGCCAAATAAAGGTACTTGACACAACCCAACTGGAGCTTTAAAATTATGATCAACAGGAGCAAAAGATTTTGCATCCTCTCTCTGGTATTTTTCCTTGTTAATCATAACACTTATATTTTTAACAGCACCCTCAGTTACTTTTTGTGTTAGTAGTTTATTTAGCAATCGTTTTTCTGTTGCTCTTGTAATTCTCTTTTCAGGTGTTGCTAGAGCCATAGGTGCAATCTGATTCCGTGTCTTTTTACGTACCATAGTTGGAGCAACACTATCATCTTTACTAACTGGGGAACAAAATTTGTGATGTACCACTCCAACAACAAAGGGTGGCTTTTTATTTGCTTGTTCAAATTTTCTGCGTCTTTCACGTTCAACTTTCCATTTTAAGAACCTGGTCAAACGATTTTCCACTGCAGGGACTAACTGCATTCCTGAAATTAAATTGTTAATAATAATATGGCAATGTATCAATGAGATAATATACCAATCATAAACAGTTTTATACAAACCTTTGTTCTGTGGTGTGCTTTCTGTAGAATTTGATATCATTCTATTTTCATTAAACGTTACAGCTCTTTGGGTTTTACGTTTCCCTTCATGTTTTTTAGTGCGAAGAAACCGACCCTCGTTTGCGTTTCCGAAACCAAACGTTTTCTCTTTATATTGTTGCCGAAAAGTTGACATTTTATTTTACATGAACAAACTTAACGTCACGATTCAATCTAACTTTCAGCTAACCGTCTCGCGGTAAAGTTCAACGGAAAACAATTTAAAATTGTTGCGCACTAGGAAGATGTTTTTGAATAGCAGTGTCACCACCGGTGGAAAAAGATATAAAACTAGTAATAACTAATGGGGATTTTGGACAGGGTTATTGCCCTTGGAGCGTTAAGGCGCTCTGTTCGTGATCGTGTAGTTATATTTAAAGCGAACAAGAAAATCTAATCAGAAATACATTAGGTGATAGGTTCATTCTGTACTTCGCCTGTGGTGCTATTAAATGTTTGTCTTTTGCGTCAATCCAGGTAGGAAGACAAGACGGGCAGATAATTTTTTCAGTTTTCTATTCTTTTATCGACCTACAATATTATCAACAGCTGATTGAAGACCATTTGTCTCAGCAATTTTCCTACACCAACTTCCCCTCAAGCGGTCACAATCTGTGACTTTAGAGTAATGAGAATGGCGTGTTTACCGCCTATTTGGTAGGGCGATGACATCAGAAATCTTATCTCTACTTTGCTGATCTATACTTGCTTATATCCACATATTGGAGCTGTTATGCAATGTTGACCAGTTGCCGGCGATCAGGTCGTCGGCAACCACTGAATTTGGGAGAATATGTAAGCTCGAACTTACGCACTTGGTCACAGCAACCAACAAATCGCACATTCCGAAATATTTACATACATTAATAGATTGAAACAGAACACCTTGTAATGAAAGAAATAATTACAACAATAATAATTTTTTTAATTGGTACACACATATATACAATCAGTGGTTTAATTTTAAAAATCTCACATTGAAGTCACACTTTTATCTGTACAAATATTATAAGAGTACCTTTTTATAAAAATCCTTATTATAAACACTTAAAATAAATTTAGAAATAAAATAAAAAATTGGCTAGTTATTCTCGCCACAATTCCCTTCATTAAGTGCCTTCTTCCTCTTTGTTATTGGTTTTCTAACAAATCTACTACAGATGCTGATTGTCGACGTCGTATTTCCGACGGTGGTACCTCACCATATTATATTGGATATAAAGCTTGAACAAAAATTAACTCGTTGTATGATCTTTGTAATTTGTATTGGCAAAAACTAAAGTCATCCAATTTATATTAATTGCTGATAATACTTATATTTCTTCCGCATCGCAATAAATTTACGTTCATACAAATAAAGAAAAAAGAAGCAAAGAAAATAATTACGTTTCTCTGGTGTTTCCCATGAAATAAGATTTTCTGTGACTATACTCCTCTTTCTATCACTAGATTGTGCCCTGCTCCTTCCAACATGAGGAGTCATGGGTAATTCCCAACCACTGCACTCTTTTTCTGCAACAATGTACTCACTCAAATATTGCATTTAAAGAACATAAAATACTAGTTTATTAGCAACTATCCATACCTAAAAATTTAACACTTCTAGTAGATCTTCTCCTGACATTACTTTCTTCTAAAGACATGTTATCATTCCAACTGTATAAATCCATTTTTTCCTTATCATTAATGCTGCCTTTAAATGAACTTTTTCTCCTTCTCCTTTCTGAAGGAGTTTTATTTTCCTTATGTTCTAATTCTTGGATGCTAGTAGACACTTCTTTTAAGGATTTTCTCCTAACTGTAGGTGTATCAAGTACTATAACAGTTCTATTTCTTAAAACTCTTGTATTTTCATCATGTTCATTTATTTTTTGTTTTTCTTTATGTTTATTTTTTGTAATTTCTTTTAATGGTGACATTTTATGCATAATCTCATCACTTTCATCAAAAGCAATTTGTCTTCTTAGACTTCGCCTTGGCAATGGTGTTGCAGGTTGTACTTTTAAAGCTGGTATTTTACTAATATTTTCAACTGCAGAATTTTTCAATTCAAAGTGTCCAATATCCCCTTCAGATTCTTTAGAACTATTACTATCAAAAGCAAGTTTTCTTTCTGCCTTAATTATTACTTTATCAAAGTTGTCAAAACTTTCTATTTTTGATAATGATTCAGCCAAATCCACTTTTGTCTGTGTTTCTCCACCAATTGGTATTTCATTTAAAATTATATGATCATCAAAATTAACTTTATTTCTGAACTTTATACGAGATTCTGCTATAGTTGCATTCTCTGATGGTTGCAATATGCTCCTTCCTGGTGTTTGATCAAAATTAACATAAGATATTGTATTATCCAAGTTCACCTCTGGTGTTTTACACATTTGGCTTACTTTTATTATGGTTAATGGAGTATTTATCTTCTTTGATGTTTCAGACAAATGTACCTCTTGCACTAGACTTAATCTTTTATTATGTTTAATAGGTGTATAATCTTTTTTATTAGGAGTACTAGACATAAATTTTCTTGTCTTATATTTTACATTAAAGCTTTCATTCTTTTCATATTTATTACTCAGAATTTGATTACTTGTAACATCAACTTCTTTCATATCACCATTACTTCTCATTTCTTGTGTCATCTTTTGCCTTTTCTTTGCTACGAAAGCTTTGAAAGAACTTGATTTTGTAAATGCAACATTTCTTTTTACATTAGATTTCTTTTTAGTTATATGCTTGACAACAGGCAATTCTTCTTCCTTCCAGTCTCGTGAACGAAGTTTCTCCAATTTTTCAAATCGTGAATCACAGTTCTTTACTTCTATATACATCACATCCCAAAATCCTTGTAAATCTTTACATGTAACTAACATTTCTCCTTTTCCTGTCTCACAATCAGCAACTAATCCACGAAATCTTTCAAACTTTTTGCCTATTAACAGATTTGTTTGGCCAATAGTTTGATTTATTTCATATTGCCCATCCTCTGTAGTTGTAGGTTTTGTTTTAATTTCTGACCACGTTTTACATAATTCATTTAATCTGGTTATTTCTCTGCTTAGAAGAAATTGAAAATATTGTGCAGTATGTTCTTCTTCTTCAACTGAAATATTTAAATTTTTCATGACAGTATCTTTTGCAGGAATGTCATCACTTGGTGAATGACAAAGACTGAAGCTATGTGTTAATTGTTCTTTTAAATGTTCATCATTATTATGTCTCACATTGGTGTATTCTTCACTATTGCGTACTACATTTTCAACACCTGATTTTATCTCTTCATTTTTATTATTATTATTATTAGAAGAATTAAATATTTCTTCTTCATCATATGATAATTTTAAGGAGACTGCTTCTATCGAAGAATTATCTTCTGCATCATTAGAATCACTTTCCTTGTCATTAGGTGCATCATTCTCCTGAATATTGACTGGTTCTACATTAAATTCTGTAGTACCACTTTTTCTATTTTCCTTTGATGTACTTAAAGGGGAAAATGTAAACTTTGTCTTGATAGGTGTATTTTCTATGGCTACTCTGCCAAATAAAGGTACTTGACACAACCCAACTGGAGCTTTAAAATTATGATCAACAGGAGCAAAAGATTTTGCATCCTCTCTCTGGTATTTTTCCTTGTTAATCATAACACTTATATTTTTAACAGCACCCTCAGTTACTTTTTGTGTTAGTAGTTTATTTAGCAATCGTTTTTCTGTTGCTCTTGTAATTCTCTTTTCAGGTGTTGCTAGAGCCATAGGTGCAATCTGATTCCGTGTCTTTTTACGTACCATAGTTGGAGCAACACTATCATCTTTACTAACTGGGGAACAAAATTTGTGATGTACCACTCCAACAACAAAGGGTGGCTTTTTATTTGCTTGTTCAAATTTTCTGCGTCTTTCACGTTCAACTTTCCATTTTAAGAACCTGGTCAAACGATTTTCCACTGCAGGGACTAACTGCATTCCTGAAATTAAATTGTTAATAATAATATGGCAATGTATCAATGAGATAATATACCAATCATAAACAGTTTTATACAAACCTTTGTTCTGTGGTGTGCTTTCTGTAGAATTTGATATCATTCTATTTTCATTAAACGTTACAGCTCTTTGGGTTTTACGTTTCCCTTCATGTTTTTTAGTGCGAAGAAACCGACCCTCGTTTGCGTTTCCGAAACCAAACGTTTTCTCTTTATATTGTTGCCGAAAAGTTGACATTTTATTTTACATGAACAAACTTAACGTCACGATTCAATCTAACTTTCAGCTAACCGTCTCGCGGTAAAGTTCAACGGAAAACAATTTAAAATTGTTGCGCACTAGGAAGATGTTTTTGAATAGCAGTGTCACCACCGGTGGAAAAAGATATAAAACTAGTAATAACTAATGGGGATTTTGGACAGGGTTATTGCCCTTGGAGCGTTAAGGCGCTCTGTTCGTGATCGTGTAGTTATATTTAAAGCGAACAAGAAAATCTAATCAGAAATACATTAGGTGATAGGTTCATTCTGTACTTCGCCTGTGGTGCTATTAAATGTTTGTCTTTTGCGTCAATCCAGGTAGAAAGACAAGACGGGCAGATAATTTTTTCAGTTTTCTATTCTTTTATCGACCTACAATATTATCAACAGCTGATTGAAGACCATTTGTCTCAGCAATTTTCCTTCACCAACTTCCCCTCAAGCGGTCACAATCTGTGACTTTAGAGTAATGAGAATGGCGTGTTTACCGCCTATTTGGTAGGGCGATGACATCAGAAATCTTATCTCTACTTTGCTGATCTATACTTGCTTATATCCACATATTGGAGCTGTTATGCAATGTTGACCAGTTGCCGGCGATCAGGTCGTCGGCAACCACTGAATTTGAGAGAATATGTAAGCTCGAACTTACGCACTTGGTCACAGCGACCAACAAATCGCACATTACTAAATATTTACATACATTAATAGATTGAAACAGAACACCTTGTAATGAAAGAAATAATTACAACAATAATAATTTTTTTAATTGGTACACACATATATACAATCAGTGGTTTAATTTTAAAAATCTCACATTGAAGTCACACTTTTATCTGTACAAATATTATAAGAGTACCTTTTTATAAAAATCCTTATTATAAACACTTAAAATAAATTTAGAAATAAAATAAAAAATTGGCTAGTTATTCTCGCCACAATTCCCTTCATTAAGTGCCTTCTTCCTCTTTGTTATTGGTTTTCTAACAAATCTACTACAGATGCTGATTGTCGACGTCGTATTTCCGACGGTGGTACCTCACCATATTATATTGGATATAAAGCTAAAGTCATTCAATTTATATAAATTGCTGGTAATACTTTTATTTCTTCTGCATCACAATAAATTTACAACTAGAAAATGTGTGGAACATGATATGGAATAATAGGAAACGTATTTTACATCTGTGAGCAAAATTTAGAATTGTTCTAAAACTTATAGTTTTAAATAATTACTTTCAATGTTTCATGTATTTGTCCCCTTTTTTCTTTGTAAAAATAAAGTAATTTATGAGTGCATAATATTGAAAATAATACACTTACCTTTATTTGATCAGACTGTTCACCATCAAAAGTGTTAATTCAATTGAACTTCAAATTGGAGATTCTTTACCCAAAGAGTTTATACAAATGTTGTATTCCTTTACAAAATATTTCACAGTGTCATCTTTTTTTATTGCAATTCTTGTAATCTACACTGTTCACACTCCACAAGCACTGATTGTACTGCAGATCCTTAATAAATAATAAAACTTTCATTCGACTACACAATTATAAATATAGCAAATAGACTTGAAGTAATTGATAATATACAAGATTTGTTCCTTTAAAATATATTGAATTGTACCTCAATTTATTTTACAAAGCAATTCAATCGTAATGTACAGACAAAGTTCAACAAGTAAAACACATGTAACCTACCAAGACTGTGCGAAGAAGAACGGAGGGCTCTTAAAAATATTGAGACAAAATAAAGGAAACTGTACATAACTAGAAATACTTGAACAATAATAGAAGAGAAAAAACAAAAAATGTTTTCGAAGATATGCCACCAAAAGCGTAATACCACTGCCATAAGTGCTACAAACTAATGACAAATAGATGAACCCAGAGAATAGAAGTCCGCAGATTGTCCGTTAAGTTTTCCATCTATGCCGAAAGACAAAAAACACGGACTTTTAATCTGACTTTTGTCTGTAGGCGGTCCGTAGCACTCACAGACCTTGTCCACAGACAATATCCACAGTCCGTAAATCTGTACAGGGCTTTACAACTCATTGCGCTCAATAACACACAGTTCATCAATTTCGGCCATAGTCTATAATTACTCTAATTACAAATACGTTTGTTTACAAATTTACGAAGTATTGAACAACTTTATTATGATAAGTACAGGAGCTTAATGATATTAAAGCCGATCTATCGTAAGTACTCACATCAGAGAAAAAGTAGTATTCTGATATCTTTTCATGTAATTCTTACTTATAAATTTGCTTATAACTTTTACTGATATATTGTTCTCTACGATATTACAGAATAACGAATTTATTGGTAATCGTAATGTATTTATTCACTTTCAAATTTTTTTTCTTTGTTGCTTATAAGTTTGTACGTTTTTTGTATTAAAAAAAACTCTATGCATTGTACTTTTGATAATTGTTTCCAAAATTTCGATTTTATGATGAAAATGTTCTGGCTCTACGTAAAAAACACGTCGCAAAAGAAGGTCAAGACTCGTATATTAATCTTTGATAATGTGGGAATATTTCCCATGTTGGGAGATGTAAACCAAACTCTAAGGCCACCAAAACAGCAAATTCAGATGTAATTAAGTCCTTGCGATTTAGACGAAATACACTTTCAATTCTCTGGAAATTGTATAAAACTATTTAATCTAAAAATATTCGACGTATAATATTGATTTATGTAGCAAAATGTTGTAATAAATTGGCATAGAATAAATACCTCTATTAATGATTTAAGAACGTCACCCTTAACATCATTTAATTTTGCTGCAAGAAGTAAGCATGCACCAGCACATAATTTCCGTGTTTGTTTCGTGACAACATTTCGAAGAATAAGTTTCTCAAAATATACATAAGCCATTGCTACTGTTAAGAGATCAATACCATATTCCATTTTTGCTATTTTCCTCATTTCTCGTTTTAAACTATGTACGTCATTATAATGTATTATTAAATTTTGCATAAAAAATATTACATAGTTATGAACCATATTACACTGGTTTAATACTGACCTTCTTAACTTACTCAAAGTAAGTTGAATATGTGGAAATTTTTCCTTAAATTTATCATTTAATTCTTTTTTCAAATCAGATGGTCGTACATAATCAATAACTGATGCCTATATGAAAGACAGAAAGAAATAAGTAATCATTACATGAATTATTAATATACATTATATCTTATAAGTTTACAAAATTAAATACCATATATGATGTAAATGTAAGCAGTGTTCTATGTTTTCCAGCTATGAGTTCCGGATCATCCAATAAGTTCGGATTATATTGTAATGATTGCTCATCCCAATCATGAGCTATAATTAAAGAAGCTTATTGTAAAAATATTTTAAATCCTACTAAGCAGTGCTTGCTTATATTTGCAGCGCAAATGTACCTTTGGAATCAGCATTAAAAGATAGCGGTGGAGATTCAGGTGTTAAATGTTGAGCTCGATGTGTAGCTGTGTCATAAGATAAACACCTGAAAGAAAATTCATTACGTTAAGCGATACTACGAAAAAATAAATTTGGAACTAAATATAACAAACATTAAATTTATCATAACTTTAAAATATTCTTTATGCTAATAATACACTAAATCTAATAATAACTAATAAAGATTACACTATATGGGATATGAATGAATATGTATGCATTCAAATGAAAATGTAAATGATAAATATGTATATATATTAATGATAATATACAATTATCTTGTTTGTATACAACTTCTAAGGCAAGGAATTTATTTTGTAACAAAATTAACTTACGTGTATATCATGATATGAAATTACATACAACAAAGAAAAAAAGAAATTGGTACATACAAGTGTATAGTGCACGTGCTATACAATTAATATAGATAAAAAAATATATACATAATTACAGAATTGCAAATAATGCTATTCCAAATTAATTAAAAATATAAATTAGTATTCACACTTTCTACTGTATACCATATTATACTAATTTATTTAAACCTTCTTTTAATATAATATGGTTATATATTTTACCATTTTGAGTGATCCACATTCCATGTAATAGTTTTTGTCCTGCAAAATATGGTTGAAAGATTTCATTACAAGACAAAAAAAATAGTGCAATACATTTTCTGTGACAGTATATTAGTGAAACGTGAAAGATGAATGAAAACATCTAATAAAGGAGTGTACAAAAATACTACACATATGAAAAATTTACAAAATGAAATAACATAAAATACTTGTACTTACAAAATTGGAATAAAATATTTAATAAGAATAAAGATATATTAGTTTTAGTTATACAAATTAAATACCTTGAAACTATAGGATGCTTGTTAGGTATAAGTTCTATGGTCTCATTATCATTAAAATGTAATTTTTTGTCCTTCTGAAACTGCCTAGATGGAACAAGCAATTGTCCATAAGATATTTCCTAAAAATATTCTGAATTAATTTGTGAAATTAAAGGCCATAAAATAATTCTGTATTTTATAATTAGATACCTGGCCGTCTTTAGCACGCTCTACACCCAATAAACCAAAGGGGTCAATATTATCATTAATTGCTGATAGTGGTCTCTGTGAAGAAATATTTTTTCTTCGTCCTGTGTCTTTACGCAATTCAGACCTGTAAATACAAAAAAAGGATCTACATCAATATGTATTATGCATTGTAAGTACAATTGTACACAATTTTCATAATGTCCAACTTACCAACTAGATCTCTGTCCTTTATTATATGGAAGAGCAGAAAATACTAGAAATGGCACACGTTTATTAGAAACCAAAACCAGTCTATCATCTCCAAATTTGTAACCATTTACAGGATGCTGCATTAAACGCAATTCTCTTGTAACTTCTGGTATTATGCCACTACTTCCAGAACCAGATTGCACATTGTTTGATGTTTTTGTTTTTGATTTTGTGGATTGTGGCTTAGAACGTAAAGAACCAATACTCTCATTGGAACTATTATATTGATGTTTTATATCTTCCGAAAGTGTTGATGTTTGATGAGTTATACGCTTTTTATATTGTAAAGAACCAACTCGCCTTTCAGGTAGTGAATATTCACTGCCAGTTGTACCAGTACTGAGAAATAGAAATGCACATCTTGTATTTTCTTTTCCTAATAATGTAACCAAAATAACATATAAATTTTATTAGTCCTAAACACTGTATTTAACTTATTATTCTTGTTCAATGTTGATTATACATTTTTAATAATTTTAACATTAAACTTTAATCATGCATGCATATTGGTTTGAAATATTAAAATATAAAACATAAATTCAGATATATTATAATGTACATCAATTAGTAACAAAAATTATGACTACCAATATCAACTAAAGAATTGTAATCATTGGAAGGAAATATT